ATTGCACGACCGACTGCGGGCGTGTTACGGCGCGCGAGAGAATCCCTGCACGCGCAGCGCGTTGCGCATTCCACGCCCGTCACAGCGTGTTCCCACAGGAAATGTCGGTACACAGCAGCACAGCTTCCAGAGTTCCTGCTCCGGTGTCACAAGACCGATTCAGCATTCACTTCAGCGCAGTTAGATTTAATAAATTCGGCCAATATCGCTCATAACTCTGGCGAGGCACCGCGCCCACACGCGCAGGAAGCACCACGTTTTCCATGCAATAATACGCGCGTCACAGTATAATTTAATACAACCCGTTATTTTGATCGTATCGAGAGAAGAATTCATTAGATAGTCGTATCTCCGTGTCACTCGCGCACGTCAGCAAGAATATATCTTTAGCTGCTCTTTAATAGTCAGACACGTCGACCACGCGTTACGTGTATATTTCTTTACAAAGGGGAGAGGCCCCTCTCGCTCCAGGCGACGGAGCGGCGTTCTTTTCCGCGATTCACTTTGCGTGTTGTCAATTGCAACCAATGCACCGCGTGTCAAACCGGCGTAAATAAGGGCTCACACAGCGTGAGTATTGCCCTCGCAGAAACGTCACACACGAATCATACCTCGATTCACAACTCCAAATCCGAGCTCTGCATATGCGGTTCCCGCACCCCCGCAAGGAGAAAAGAGCCGGAGACAGACGCCGGGCACCGGACGACGCCAGTAAAAAAGATGTGGATCCCTACGTCATCCCGACAGCTGACAATAGCGGAGGGAGACGGCAGATCCCCGGCGCCGGCAGGGCACCCCGCGGAGCAGCACGTCACCTCCGAGAAACGGAGGCACAGCTAGCAGCCGGTCCACCGGTCAATCCAGACACTACAGGGGGGGGAGCAAGCAATTCTCACTAGCAACACCGAGCAAATTAAAACATGCATGCAAGCACTAAATCCAGCGTGCACATCGATTCGCGGTCATGCCGCCATTCCATGTGTAACGTCCGCCGCCAGTACTACGTCGCCGAATGTTTTTTCCAAACACGCCAGATGGCGCCACCCACCCTATTTCATGCTTTTACTGTCGTATAATACGATTTATTTCAATACTTTGGTTTTATGCTTTAAAATAATTTTTATTCAAGGGGAAAAGCAAAGAAACCCTTATCCATATCAATATCCAACTTAATAATAAGAAAATATCTTAATTTTCA